GAGGTGTCCTATTCATGATAATTCACTGATGTATAGAATTTTGAAACTAATCCTATTTTTGGCTTTGCATAATAAATCAAATTAATTTTTAAATGTGGTGGAGAAGAGTAGAAAAAAAGAATTATAAAAGAGGACCAGGGAGCACATTAGTGTAATGGCTATATTAACTATGTTGACTGTGGTGCTGGTTTCATGGATGGAGATACATATACATATATATATATATGATTTTTGTTTTGTTTTGTTTTTTGGCAGTGCTGAGGATTGAACCCAGGACCTTGTGCATGTGAGGCAAGTACTCTACCAACTGAGCTATATCCCCACAATAAAGCTATAAAAATGGGATGCATCTAAAGCTGAAGTAAAAAAGAAAACACATTGTTCAATAGTTGAACTAATAAAGAGCCTAAGAATTCATTAGTTAATCATCAATCTCAATAGTTTGGAGAAAGCAAATTTTAGGAGTATAGAAAAATAGTCCTAGGGAAAAGACTAAAATTTAAAAATATTGAAAATGAACATTTCCACAGTGTTAGCATGTCAAATGTTCATGCTACTAAAAGAAAAATAAGATAAAAAAAACTCTGGTTATATTTTAGAAGGAAACATTATAAATAAATTAGAATATACATATATAAGCTTAATTTAATGTTGGATATACATTCAGGGAAATGCTGTAAATCTCTGTAAATTATGTGTATGCATGCTTTAAAAGGAAAATGTAGGGCTGGGGTTGTGGCTCATGGTGTAGTGCTTGCCTAACACATGTAAGTCTCTTGGTTCAATCATCACACAAAAATAAATGAAAAAAGGTACTATGTCCATCTACAACTAAAACAAAGGGAAATACATAGAATTTATTAAAAAAAAATAAAATTTACAAAAGTAAATAAAAGACTCAGTTACACCATGTGTAGATGATAATGCTGTAAATCACTGTAAAGTGATTCTTCATTTTGCAGTCATCACCCAGAGCACTGATACCTAGATGGTTCACTACGACACACCTAGCCTGTGATAACTGTCACTGTACATGCGGTCCATCACCAACCAAAAAGTCATTAGGCCACACATGGTCATATGCTATAAAGTCACAGTAGTCATGTACACCTCACAATAAAATGAATAAATAGACCTGTTGATACAAAGACAGAACTTTTAAAAAGACACCTGCTATTTAGACAATGATAAATGACAAAAGTTTGCACTGGAGGAAAGTAGAAAAATTGCATCTATTCCAAAGAAAGCTGCTGGGAAAATGGGATATCTGGGTGACCCATACGTGCTATTGTAGTCTTTCCTCATATCACATCATAAATCATTGTCAGAGGTAATACATAATTAAAGATAAAAGCAAACCATAAAACATTCACAAATTATTATAAAAAGGGAGTCACAGGGTGGACATGGTGGTACACACCTGTAATACTAACTTCTTGGAAAGCTAAGGCAGGAGGATGGAAATTTCTATGCCAGCCTGGGCAACTTAGTGAGACCCTGTCTTAAAATAAAATTTCAAATATGGCCAGAATGTAGCTCAGTGGGAGGGTTCCTTTGGTTTCAATTCCAAGAACCACAAAAAAAGGAGTTCTTTTCAAAGGTATACTAAAAAACATGTTAAAAAATAAAAAAATTGGACAACATTAAAACAAAAATTTTATTCATCAAATGCTAACATTAAAAGATGAAAAGAGAAGTGACACAGTGGAAGAAAATAATTCCCTCACATATAACCAAAAATTTTTAATAGCAAAGGAAAATTCAGGGACACCAAAAAAAGCAGGCTTGAGCAATTTATACAGAAGATAACTCAACAGCCAATAATCATGAAAACATTCCAAATCTTAGGAAATTAGAGAAATGTAAAATAAAATCACATCAGATAGATAAAATTAAACAATACTGAAAAATATATGGAAAAAAATGAATTATAATGAATGAAAGATGAAATGTAAGTTGTTGTTCTATATTTATGGAAATCTATGAAGATACACAATACACCATCAGCACAGACTTGTAGAAATCACTGCATGTGTAAACCATGAAAACATATGAGGACACAGCAGTATTGGTCCAAACAACTGAAATCCAAAGGGTGTGGAAAGAGGGTGTACATTCAAGAAGACACAATAAAAAAGTGGGAAAACAATGGTTTCTAGGGCCCACCCACATCTTTTGTCATATTACACTCAGTTTAACCATAGAAAACATCAGATTAGTATTAGAAAGCCATCTCAACCCTATGATACTTCATGTGTATGCATGCTTTTCAAAGGAAATATGTAGAATTTACCAGAAAATTAAAATGTACAGAAGCAAATAAAAGACTCAATTACACACACCATGTGTACATGATAAAACTCATCCTTCCAAAGACAATCATTTTCCTCCCAGTTAATTTGTAACATTTTCCATCAAAATTTCAGGATGCTTTCCTTTTATTGAATGAAGGGGCAAAACAAAACTCCCTACAACTCATCTGTAAAGTATATACAAAATTAGCCAAAAAACCCTGATTTGTAAGAACAAAACAAGTAGCTATCATTACCTGACACTAACATATATTATAAAACTGTAATATTACATTAATAATAACTAAGGATTCATAACACAAAATCCATAGCTGAAGCCACATGAAGGTAAATTTTCTATTGTCAAAACCAACAGGAAGGCCAAAATAAATCCAAGCATATTAAGAATTACATTAGACTTCAATGCATGGTCAGCCCAATCTAAAGGTAGGTGCAGGGACTGGCAGCACAGTTCACTGGTAGAGGGTGAATACAGAATGTGCAAGGTCTGGGTTCAAACCCCAGCACCACAATAAAAGGCAGATGTTAATGGAGGATAATGTTGGAAATTCGGCAGAATAGGAGACTCCTGACTCTCCCTTCATATATGGATACACTGAATAAATATCTATTCATGTTTCAAGTTCTTAGACAAAGTCATGCCACAAGTAAATTGAGAGACCTAGGAGAGGAAGATTGGGACTCTACATATCCTAACTCTAAAGTCTTCTGTGGTTCGCATCTTAATTTATCTACTGCTGAGAGAGGAGGGGACTACAAACACACAAGTATCAAGACCACAGGAAAAAGTGATTTTTTTATGGACATGGAAGTACTTCCATGGGCTTCATCACCTGGGACCAGGGAAGACAATGGGTTAAATCTCAAAGGTGTCAGTTTATCCCTAGAAGGGCTCTGGGTCTGCCAGCTCACTCTGCCAACTGCTGCTGCAGATGAATGAGCTCCTATCTAGCCAGAATCATGAATTTAAAGAGGAAAATAAAGGCCACTACTGTTAGCCTAAGTGGGAGTTTGGTGCTTCCTGAGCTCTCTCCCCCACTTCACCCCAGTAATAACTCCAATTCTTCCTAGAAGGAGTCTGCCCATGCACTGAGAGCCTCAACTTCAACACCTTTTCTTCCTGGGTCTCCATCCCAGCCTCCAGAGTTCTGTAAACAAAGGTAACTGAGTATGTGCAAATCTCCACAGATCACAAACAAGTGGTTTTATATTGAAGGGCAAGTACTTCCCACCACTAGAGAAGAAAAGGGATCAAAAAGTACAGATCTCAGAAAAAGCCACAGCACACTCTTCCAGTGGCAACTTGACAGGCTAGATTGTGGAGAGCAGTGACTGCGATTGGGGGTCTCTGATGACCTCATGGCTGTGGTGCACATGCTGCCTGGGATTGTTTCTGTGCAAAGGCACAGGATGCCTTGCTGCTATGATAAAGCCCTGCCCAAGGAGGCTCTGTGCAAGTCTTATCAGCTTTGACCTTGATCTCAGGAACATAGCTCCCAGGGATACAGAAACTCTCCTGCCAGACAACCACAATGTTTCACCAGCTCTGCTGCTCAGTAACTTCAAACAATGGACCTCCTTGAGCGCTACACAAAGCTCCTAACATTTCACATTGAAACTGTAGAAAAGCTGCGCAGATGTTTCTAATTCTGAAACTTTCCTTAGTACAAAGAATAATGCTTGCATACTCCTTAACCTGATAAGGAGACATATATAAATAAAGATTGCTGGTGTAACTCTTTAGATCTGCTTCTCCATCAGAGAGGAGTGCTCCACATGATTCAAACTATTTATCTTCATAATCTGTGTGTGTGGATCTTTCCTAATTCCCCATCGCCTTTCACCAGTACCACAAGTTTGGCCACAGGTGGTGGAAGCACTGGAATCTAACTTGCATCAGGGACTTAATGCACCAATCAAATAGCAGACCCCCTGCAGCCTGAACTATGCTATTAAAATGGTTACTATCAAAAAGTTGCAAGACAACAAATTCTCCAGAGTACAGCCATATGGAAAAAAGAAAACCCTTATAGAATGTTGGTTACAATATAAATTTCAGTGTGTGTGTGTGTGTGTGTGTGTGTGCGTATAGAATAAGATTCTTCAAAAAACTAAAAAAAAAAAAAAAAAAATAGAACTACCATATGATCCAGTTACAAGAATTCTGGGTACATATTTAAAGAAATTGGGGGCTGGAGTTGTGGCTCAGCGGTAGAGTACTCATGGGAGACAAATAGTTCACAACCTGGAGAGGAGAATTCAGCATTGCCATGCGGACAGGGAGCTGGAAACCTAGGAGTTTACCTATAACTTAAGCATTTATAAAGAGCCAGGCTGCAGGACAGGCTCCTCTGGGTTGGACATGCTGCTTCCCGCACATTCGGAAGGCCCAGGAGGTAGGGGAGCTGAGGTCCCCGCAGACCCCAGCTATTCTCACGCAGGAACACCACGCACAGAGGTGGGCCCTTCCTGAGGATGGTCCCTGGTCTCACCGCACAGCTGGAGCGAGGCCGGGCTGCTGGCAGGCTGCTGCCCAGACAGGGCTTCAGTTAGGGCCGAGGCGACCACGCAGTGGTCCCCGCCGCGGCGGACCTGCGCTCCGCTAGGACGGCCAGGGCAGCTGAGGGCGGCGCTGCCCCGAGGAGGACTCGGGGCTGCAGACTGGAGAGGACGGGGTGTCCCACCCACCGTTTCAGGTTCCAGCCGCGCCAGTCCTGCCAGTTCCACGCAGCGGGCCCGGGCTCCAGACGCGCCCCGCTCACTCACCATTTCCTGGCGGTCGGGAGCGCAGCGCTCTACTGTGGGTTCCCAGCGCCTCCTTAGTACAGCGACCCTTACCGCAGGAGCAAGGCGGAGCGAACGTAAAGACAGATCGGGACAGCAGCCAGCCCCGGATGGCAGAAGCCCGCCCCCTCCTCACGGGCTCTGCGCTGGATTGGACAGATCTCAATGTCACGCCTCTGATTGGACAGAACTTCAGTGCCCGCCCCCTGAAACGGAGCTCATTGAGCCAATGCTCTGAGTGACAGTAGATTGCATCCAACCAAGGATGAATGAGAACAGAATGGCAAATTCTTGGCGACGTTTTCTTTACCCCCCAGTAGGATTTTAGCCCAGGGACACTTATCACTGAGCAACTAACACCCACAGTCCTTTCACTTTTTTTTTTTTTTTTTTTTAATTTTGAGATAAGGGCTTTCTAAGTTGCCTAGGCTGGCCTCTAACTTGAAATTCGGGGTATTTCAGTTATGCCCTATCATGCCTATTTTCTTTTTATTTGAGATTCTGTACTTTGAATCCAGAACTTCAAACAGCAGCTGTTTTAAGGTTCTGCTGAATAGCAATATCTAAACTATCCAGAAAGATATTTGCATTGAACCATGTCTCATATTAACTTTGATCATATCACTTTATCATTTGTAATAACCATTACTTTAAATTTTATTTAATTTTTCTGCTCTCTAGTCTTATCAGGAAGTATCTTGAGCTTTGAATTGGTAAACAATACCCTAAGGCAGCAAGCAATGTCCAACACAAACAAATTGTGAGTCACAAGTGTAATTGTGACTTTCTATCAATCGCACTAAAAAATTAAAAACAGCCGCAACCACAGTGGCTTAGGCGATGGAAGCAGGAGGGTCAAAGGTTCAAAGTCAGCCTCAGCAACTAAGTGAGGCCTTATGCAGAATATTATCATACCAATATAAAATTATTAATGAAGCGTATTTGGGAGCTATAATTTCAAAGCTCATTCTATTTCAAGACTCCCAACACATTTCAATTCACATCAGCCACACTGCAGCTTACAGAGATCTGAGTCCCCTGGCTTCACTTCCTACTTTTCATGCCAAAGGTAAAGAATAGGCTTTCTTACTAATATTTCTCCTTGGGGCTAAAGCCCAAGACAGACTCTACCTTCAGAAAGACAAAGAGCTCTGACAGGAAGTGTGAGGATGGCCTTAGGCCTGAGCCTAAGCAACTCCATTTTAAAAACTCCAGTTTGAAACCTGCAGTTTCACCAGGCACACCCACAAAGCCCTCCAACATGGCCACAAACAAGTTACTTTCCCTCACCTTGATAAACCAAGTGAAGCCCAGGGGCAGGCTGTCCTTGCCTGATAAGAGGGAAAGGGGAGAAGATCAGGGTGGAGACCAGCAGACCAGATGTTTCTGACCTCAGGGTAAATGATGTCACTGAGAAATCTGGTGGTAGCTTGCACCAGGCCTCCAGTGCAAGCTCCCCCACCTTTTGTGTTCTGAATCTCTGAATATTTGCTTGAAAGCAGGTGGATCTGAATGGAGTCCTGCCTTCTGCTCAGAGCTCAGCAGGTACAATGGCCTCCTGGAGTCCCCATGAATACAGGCACTTGCTTCTTGGTCCTGATGGTTTCTATAGAAGGGGGCCCCTAAACATCTCTGTATGGACTAGGTGTGCTTGTGTATAGTTGTAATCCCAGCAATTTGGGAGGCAGAGGCAGAGGGACTGTAAGTTTGAGGCAAGTTTACTGAGGTCTTAACCAATTTACCTAGGCTTTGGACAATGTAGGGAATTTCTGTCTCAAAATAAAACATTTAAAAAAGGCTGGGAATGTGACTCGGTGGTTAAGGGAACCTAAGTTCAATTCCTGGTGCCAAAAAAAAAAAAAGAAAGAAAGAAAAAAATCTCTTTCTTTCATTGGGTAGAGTACCTTGGACATAGAAAAAAGCTCCGATGAGTGGAGGGGGCAAACTGACATACACCCCTCATAGCTAATAGATATTGTCTTTAAGGCTGTGCCTGGAAGAACAGAAACTAAAGCCAGCTCTTATTACGTTGGCCGCCCCCACAAAGAGGTCATCTAGGAAGCATAAAGACAGCATGGGTAGGGCCTCCCTCCATTAAAAATATGCCCACATTGACACAGGTCCAGTAGGAGCCCCTGGGTCAAATGACAGTGGGGTCTCACCTGAAGTTGAAGGCATTGTGATAACGATAACAGTGATAAGTCAGGCTCAACCACATGCTGTGCTCCAACCCCTAGAATGCAAGCAGGAAAATGAAGACTAAGGCAGAGTTTTGTACATGCTAGGTTGTCCAATGCAGCTCCTGCATGAGATCTGCTGTGTAAATTAAGTACTCAGGTGAACTTCTCACCCAAAAAGCCATGACTCCACTTACAAGTGCCACCAGAACATGCACTGATCCAGTCTCCATTGCCATCCAGGAAAGAAGACAGCCTGCTCTGCTGGAGGTCAGCTAAAATGTGAGTAAGACTGTGTAGGTCAAAAGGACAATGAGAAGGACGATCAATGTCATCACAAACATGATGCTGTTTAAGGAGGAGGTCACCTGCCCAGGAAGAAACAGTACCCCTGTGAAAGAAGTGCAGCCTCTTGGCTTACAGTTCTTTGCATTTTAATGTGCATACTTACTGCAACCAGCAGCACAAATAGGTTACGGAAAGAGTTCTGTGACTCCCCCAGGTCACCCAAACTCCTCCTTTGTAGCCACGCTTCCCTCCCATGCCTGATCCCCAGGACACGTGATCTATTCTACACCACTATATTTTTCAACGTTTGGAAAATCATAAATGGAAACAGAGAGGATGTAAACTTTTGAGACTAGCTTCTTTCACTTAGCTAATCTCCTTGAGATTCATCCAAGTTGTATTTTTCAATCATTTGTTCCTTTTTATTGCTGATTTATCATAAAGTTATCTCCATTTGTTTATCCATTGAACAGTTGTAGGACATCTGGTTTTGTTTCTAGTTTGGGGTTATTATTAAAAGAGCCAGCTAAACATTCATGTACAGGCTTTTGTGTGAACGTAAGTTTTTATTTCTCTAGGATGAATATCTAGGAATGAGATTTGCTGGGTTCTCTGGTGGGTATGTTTCACTTTTGAAGAATTGCCAAACTGGTCATCTTAATCATCACCCAGGATGCTGCTAAGAGGGGATGATCTCTTTCTGGGGACAGCTGCATTTAATGACCAACTGCTTGAGCAAGATGCACAGACCACGAGATGAAGGAGAGAATCAAAACCTTTTTGAGTTGATTTTGATGGAAACTTTTTCAATGGTCAGTAATGCCGGATGCCTACAGATGGCAGGGGACATGGAAGGTCCATTGAGCACCTCCACTGTCAATCAACTGTTGAGTAGCTTTTGCAATAAAAGGTAGACCATGGTCAGGTGGCAAATTGTCCAGAAAACCAATGCATGCCACAAACCTGTGACGAGTTGACAGGTTGAACTGACATGACTGTCCCAAACCTGAAAAGTATCAATGATGATAAAACACCAACATTATCCTGAGAAGATTTAGAAAGGGTCTGCAGTCCAAAATCATCAAACTGTCAGGAGAGAATTATAACACCTTTGAGAAGGAGCCACTCCCTGGCACTCATGGCAGCCTCTGCAGAAACAGAGTTCCCTTTGTGCTGTCCTAGCTGGTGTGATGACACACCCAAGCAGCAATAGAGTAGCGGGCAGGGGTGACTCAGTGAGCAGCTTGGCTCTGATTAGTCTCATCAAAGGCCCCACCCCTCCTGTGGGTGTATGCAAGTAGGAAAGTTTTAACAAGAAGCTGTGATTTGTTTTTGTGGTCCACAGAGATTCATGGAGGGATGTCTGTAATCTGCCAGACTTTAGTTTTCAGAGTGGCAGCCCAAAAAGGTCATTGGAAATCAAACAAAATGTAGGAAAGTTCCTCAAGAGGAGTATTTGCCAGAACTCTGTGAAGGGCTTTGAAGTCTCTGCTGAGCAGAGGTGCCATTTATGGTGTTGGTTCTGCAGAGCTGGCACTGAGTTGCAGAGCCACTGTGGTCCAGTGGAAACCATCAAGTCTGACCTTAGCCACACTGTGGTTAGGATTCAGGCAAATGTGTAGGACTTGAGAGTCCCATTGAGCAAGTAAAATTGACAGGAGAATGCAGACATGAGCAAGGGGAACACCCTACTCCATGTTAGGATGGTTCCAAATTAGACTAGAATGAATTCAATTAAAAAGAGACTTTTGTCGTAAAGATTACTATAATCTCAAAGTTAAAAAGGACATAATACAAAACTATTTAAAAGTTTAGGTAAAATATAAAAATATTTAAGGCTATACGAGTTTCAAGAAAAGCAAACTTATAAAGCATTTCATGTGTGATGGAGTTGATAAAGTCATAAGTCTTTCTGGAGGCTTAATAGATATGAAGTATACATGAGTGTTATTATAGACATTATGCTTGTTGGTTCAAAGCCATTGTATAAACCAATAATTTTTTTTGCACTTGTTAAATTCATCTTCTACTTTCCTTGTGAAACTTATCAACTGTTGCCTATTAGTGTTTTACAGAAGTATTACTCTAACATAACAGCCTGAGTTGATTAAAGACAATGAGCAATCACCTACAGAACAGATAGGATATGATGTTGACTCCCAGCACTAACATTATCAATAATTAAATGCAAGTGGTAACTATACTATAAATTATAGACATTAAAGTTAAAGCCCACTATTCCCACTTCAAGAACAGTGAAAATGGACTGCTTGGTGACTAAAGCCAAGGGGGAAAAGTGCTAATGAAAAAGCAGACAATAATTTGGCCTTTTCCCTCTAAGGTCAGCCAGGACCCAGGGAATGACAGAACCTCTCTTAGAATGCTGAAACTCCTGAGTCACACAACCTCCCAATCAGGGGGATCATGAGGACAGGAAGCCAACCAGTACACAGTCTGCAAAGAGGAGGATCATTGGATTGGGACATGTCCATAATGCTACCAAAGGAAACCATGTTTGGTCAGCAAGGCCCTGATCCATGTTGACAGATGGCAAAACAAGTACAAGACTAAAGAAGCCAAGAAGCTTCTCACAAGTTCCCAAGAGTGATTCCTGGGGAATCTCAGTCAACTCTTAA